AAGTGGCGGATGGGGACCTGAAGGGAAAGAGAGGCAGAGGGGACAGGCAGGCCGTGACAACGCCCTGTGAGAGAAAGTTTCGGGGGGGGCTTCTCTCCCCCCCACACACACACACATTTGGACGAAAGGGCAATAGACAGGGGTGGAGTTGGGGGCTTTAAAAGGAGAGGGATTCAGGTAAGGTGTTTTCTGTGACTGCAAGGGGTCCCAGTCGGTGGGGTCCTGTGGGGGGGGGTAGGACCAGGGCGGTGAGTGTGTTCCTACTCTGAAGAAAGCCTGTCTTTTTCTCTCTCTCTTTTCTGGCTTCTTCCCTGGTAAGAGAAATGGCTGTGGGGCAAAGAGTCACTGCTCTTATCAAATGCATGCGTGTCTGGAAGCAGATCCCATTGAATGTAGTGGGATTGACTTAATGAGTAGATTTGTATAAGCTGGCACCATGCAGTTGCAACCCTAACTATGGGATTGACTTAATGAGTAGATTTGTATAAGGTGGCACCCTAACTATACTCAGTGTTTTTGGCAACGCTTAGTTGATTTACGTGGTTGGTTGACCTGTGGAACTGTCTTGGTTTAATGATTATAGCAATAATAACTTTGTGCTGCTCAGTCAATTCCAGTTTATTGCAACCCTTAGAATACATAGAAGTGGTTTCTCATTTTCCCTTCTTCTGGGACTGTGCAGCTGGCCCAAGGCCACCCAGGCTGGCTCCTCTCTCAGGAGGCACCCAGTGGGGGAATCGAACTCCCAACCTCTGGCTCCACAGCTAGAGACCTCAACCACTGAGCTATCCAGCTAGCTTAAGGCTTGGATTAGTTCAGAATATACATACACTGAGTTGCATTGTAACCGTGCAAAAGTCCGCAGGTTTGTTTAGAACTAAGTAGGTCTCTCTTCTTTCAATGCATCTTAATTCCCAGACCGCTCACGTTGGTCTTGCAATGTTAGGAGGGAGTCGTTTCTCCTTGTTTAACTCAGGTGGTGCAGAACAGGCCACACGCCGCCCTTCAACAGCAAGGCCCGGCTTATCGTTTATCTTCTGAGACGGACAGGCGGAGTAAGCAAAGTAATAGTCAGCTTTTTCTCTGCCAAAAATGTTTACATGGCTGGTTGCCTTAAAGAGCTGTGTTTCAAATAAATGGAAACTGAAAACTGCCTGGCTTTCTTTCCTATTGTTATTGATGCAGAAAGCACTTGCCTAGGGGTTAGCACGTTCAGGGCCTGCCTGTGTTTCTGACCTTTGCCGATTCGGAGAGAACTCTGTTCGCCCTTAACCTTCCACACGTCACCTTTACAGGAAAGGTATTAAGATACATTCATGGTTTGGCTGAGTCCCCCACTGCCTTTCCAAATCATGCTGTGAGATTGGGTGTTTTCTTCTGTAGCCTTTCCATTGTGGTCGTGAGGATCAAAGCCACAGCTTGTGAGGGCCTTTGAAAGCAGAGCGGTGGCCATCCTTTGCCACCACAGAGAGGGAAACAAGACCAGGGTCTCATTTTTCCAGATTCTGATGAAAGGGAGAGTCTTGGGGTGCACGGCAGAGGTCTTGGCATGGCACCTTTTGAAGTAATGCAGGGACCAAGAAAGTGTAGTGGTTGCATTTCTGCTTTAGATGCTGTGCCATTTGTTAAGTGCTGTTCATCAAGCGTGGTGCAATATAGTTATTTAACAACCGCTTCCTCTTACATTGTGGTTTTTCTTTTTAACTCAGAAACGGCCTCCCTCCCACCTGCTCCCCCCCCAATACACAACAGCCATGCAGGGGGTCTCTCTGAGCCTGTACCTGTGAACGAATGCTCGTGTCACAATCAGTTAATTCCTTGGCCTTCCAGATCTCGAGTTCAAGTCCAAAGGAATTCAGCCTTCTCCTGTGGGGGGAGGGTCCGCCATTCAGCCGGGCAACACAAACTGGCAGTGATTTCCTCTTCCTGAAATGTTGTTTGCTCTGGTCCTTAAATAGAGGATGTTTTCTGCTAAAAGAAGAGGTACATACACTGAAAGCCCAGCCATAACAGAAGCGGCTTCCAATGTATGTTATCCCTTCTTAATTTGGGGAAAGACGACTCAACAGCGCACAAGCTGCCTTTCGAAGTTGCCCGCCGTTGCTCCCTTAGCCAAAGAGGACCCAAACCTCCGCGGCTGGTCGTTGGCCGTTTTCTGTGCTTCCTGGAAAAGCAGCCCCAGCCGCTTGAGATTTCATGTCTCCTCCCTCCCCTTGTGACTTCCTCGGCGGTCTCTTCTGTTCCAGGCAGCCACTCAGCAGGACATGACGTTCTGGTTGCAGGAGCTTCAGCAGAAGAGGTGGGAATATTGCAATAGCCGCGATGCAGCCAAGAGGATCCACCAGACGTCCCCGACTCCCAGTGGCTTCTCGAAAGGACTTGTGGCCAAAGACAACGCGGGTGAGTGAAGCCGGCGGGGGGGGGCGGCCTGGTGCGTGCGTGCGTGCGTGCCACGGTTGTCGCATCATTCTGTGCTTCTGTTTCTAAATAAGACCTAGGACTCTGCTTCGTGTTAAGTAATTCATGAGCACTATTAACGCTTATGCCGAGAGAACGTTGTGGTGGTGCTTGATGCTGATAGCAGTCCTTATGCTTTTTATTCAACTCTAGTTGCTTGTTTTCTTGTTGGATTTGTTTCTTCCTCCTGAGGTCCGTGTTCGCTTTCTGTTAGTATTGGGGTTGCTACTAGCATCCCAGAGGGTTCTTCCTCCTGAGGTCCGTGTTCGCTTTCGGTTAGAATTGGGGTCGCTACTAGCGTCCCAGACGTTTCACAAGTGGGTCATCTGTGGCACAAAACACTTGCAGGAGGAGATGGTGAATGAGGGACAGAGAGGTTTTAGTCACGGTTATGAGAAACCACATCCCACTTCCACCCCTTCTGTGTCCAGTGGAGAGGAACCCCTTTTGAGACATTTGGGCTTAGGGTGGATTGGCTACCGGGAGCTAGGCGGAAGCTGTTGGGGGATGGATGTAGGTCGAGTGAGGGTCTCTGTACCCCCTAACCCCCCTTCTCCCTGGCATTGCGGGGAGCTTTGCCAAGGCAGAGCTTGGCATACCTAGGAGGTTTCTCCCCTTGAAAGCTGCCCCACCCCAGAGGAGGGTCCTTGGCTATGGACTTTGTCCCCGACTCCAGGATTGGCGAAAGATGACTCTGCTCGGACTGTAGCGACAGTGCAGAAGAGGAAGCCCTGCTGAGACATCCAAGGGGCTGGGCTGTGAGGTACCTGAGACAGTGAACAGGCACTTTTAATGAGGTATTTAAAAATAAAAACAAAAAAGTCCTGACCATCTGTTGATTACAAGTAGTCCTTCAATTTCATTGCCCCTGCAAGTTTCATACATTTGCTTTCAAGTAGTCCTTCAATTTCATTGCCCCTACGAGTTTAATACATTTGCTTTTTTTTTATAAAGTTACACAAGTCCTAGCTCAGAATTGTTATTTTGTAACTGTTCATAACAAATGTCTTCCTAGAACAATGAACTTCCTATTTAGGCAAACTTTGAAATCAGTGACTTTGATAAGCTACTGTTTCCTACAATGTTTCCAGCTCTTAAGGCAGTTCTGCCAAGGGTTGCTCCAGAGATTACGGCTCAAAGCCGTTGTTCGTTGTGGTTCTTCGAGGAGTCTTGTAAGCAGCCTTGGGCTCTTCAATAAAAAGGGAGGGCGCAGGTTGGGTAAAGGCAGGAGCCTCCTGGGAGCTAATTTTGGGGAGATATTTTGCTACTAGACTTCTTGTCTTCAGCTGAAACAAAAGAGGCATTCATGGTCAGTTTCTTACTAATGTTTACATTTACAAAGAAGTAGACAGTGGCTGAAATCCCTGCGGTGTAGTTATGCAAAAGGTGTAACTTTTAGCAGCGAATTGCTGTAGGTTAAGAAACTTCTGTACCTTTTGCAAACTTAGTTGCAGGTCCCTTAACTTAGAGCAGTTCTCTGCTAACAGCTAGGTGTGCAACGGGATTTTGGCCAGTGGATGTACGTATAATAGGGTTGTACATGGCAGCCCTTGTGTCTCCGTTGCTCCTAGGATGAAAGGATGTGTTTTTTGGTTGCATTTTGCTCCTTTGGATCTATGCTTTTGCCACTTGAATGGTGATGGCGGCTGTTGTCGATGTGGTATGTTGCATGAAAAAAAATGTGCATTAGGATCCTAGCATCCTCTAAGCTGAAATATCTCCCTGGTTTAGAGGGATTTTTTTGTGACTGTTTCAACATTCCCAACATTCTTGCAGCTTTCCTACCAGTTGTGAGATAGAGAAAAGACTTTATAGAGCCGCCTGTCAGTTTTGCATCCCCTTGTGCGGATTTCCACCCTAAGGCAGTGAGAAGGGTGCAGATTCTGCAAACCGGATAGTTAACTGGGAAGGAAAGAATAGTTTCTCTGGTGGGTTGACTATGACAGCTTGGCCTTTTCCTGTGAGGCTTTCTTGCAACACCGGCTTTACTGGAGAGCAGAGCCTTTTCTGCAGAACTGGAAACTTTTGAAGGCGTCTCTGCAGTTCTAAACCTGCTCCCCTTGGAACAGGGTTGTTGGGACATATTTGTCTTGTGGCAAATGCTGTGTGCAAGAACAGAGGTGAGCTGCTAGTCGGGAAGGAGGAAAAGGTTCATAGGATGGCTTGTGAAGCTGGGTGCCCGAAGCGTGACAGCACCTGAAGGTGAGCCACCAGCCCTGAGGGCTCAGGGCACCACCCTTCAGACTAGAGGGCCTTGTTGCCAGGGGAAGGAGGGCTTCAAAGAAGTGGGAGGAAAGGTTGCCTGTGAATCCAGTCTACCCTTGGCCGTTCACTGAGGTTAGTGTGTAGAGAAAGCTGCAAGGGGGAGGGAGCTCTGTCTGTCTGTCTGTCCGCCTGCTGCTTGTCCAGTGGCTGCAAGATTCTGGAGGAGGCAGGCTGGGCTGCTCTAGAGGTTTCCCAAGAAGGTCAGTGAGTTGGGGGCAGTCCCGGAGTGAATCATGGCCTCCTGCTGGATTGTCCCTCCAGGGCCCACTCTGACTCTGCAGGCTTCAGACCCTTGGATAGAAGACGAGGGGATCGCAGTAGGGGAATGCGGTGGAGCCCGTTAGGAGTGTGCCTCCCGCTCAGCCTGCCTCAGCCCGGTCCCTTTCCAGACAAACCTGTTCCATTCTTTATGTTTTGAGGGCTCTGCTCAGTGTGGGTTGTAATCCCCCAAAGCTCACAGTGACGGAAACAAACCTGGGAATCTGAAAGGGGTTGTCGTCCTTTTTGGATGTTGCTGGAAGAGCCTCACCCCAGCTGCCGGTCTGGACCTGTGCAAGGATGAGCCTCAAGAGCCGCTTGGCACAGCCTGGCGAACAGGCTCAGAGCGGGGGAGGCTGGCTGAGTTTGACTTCTGCAGCGTGGCATTTTGCTGACACCCCCCAGGGTTGCACAGGCAGAAGCGGCCTTTGGGGCAGTGGCAGTGGGCAGACGGAGGGCCCTGAGCCTAAGGATCTGGCCCTTGCCCGGCCCCTCTCCCTCGGCCACTCGAGGCAGGGCGGGTGGATTCCTTCTCTGTAACAAACGACGGCATGAATGGCTAATGGACGGTGGTGGGTCTCGCCCTCAGGTGTGAACCTCCTGCCTGCCAACCCGTCGGCCGAGAGAGCCAGGCATGTCCTCGCCGTGGAGACGGCGCCCACGGAATGGGTGGGAGAACAGGCCGCGTCCCAGCCGGCCCCGGGCCAGTCCAGCGCCATCAACTTCTCCCTGAAGCAGTGGCGGGACGAGATCAAGTGAGTCTTCGCTCTCTCTCGTGTCCCTGAGTCGTCCTCAGCTGACAAGCTGGACGGATGCGTGGCCCTTCATTTAACCCACTAGTAGTCCTTCAGGGGAAGGCCGTCTTAATTTTATCTCTCCTCGGTTATATAGGAGATTCTGAGACAGACGGGGAGACAGAGAGACCTGCCTAGCATTCATTTGTTTGTTTATTTAGAAGCTGGGACTTCTTGATTTTTAACTCGTTCTCCTGCCCCAAGGGTTCCATCCTCTCTGGCCCTCTTTTTGCCTCGGCAAGGGACGCATAGACAGCGTGGCTGCAATCTCTCTGGCTTAAAAGACTGAAGCCCGACCTCTTCGAAACACCTCTTGTGGCAGGGCGAGAAGCAAAACAGAAGCCGCCTTTGTGTGTCCTCTTTTCCAAAAGGCCTATTGTAACCATTGTCAGGCCTGCCGTGCAGCTGAAATCACTGCCTTGACCTTGGCCGGCTTCTGGCCACCCGCCTGGTGGCATCTGACCTCCAGCTCCTTCCCTCCTCGTCCAAGGTCCTGAACATCCTCCCGGCCTGCCAGGAGCCTTTCATTCCTGCAGAAGGAAGGCTGCGTCTGGAGTCTCATCCTCTGGCTAATGCTTCGGGGCAGAGACGCCGACCGTTTCCGGGGGGAGGGGGAGAGGACGCTGGAGGCCTTGGCAGATCGCCTTCCTGGTGCCGCTTCCAGATGATGGCAGGCTGGAGCACATGCCCCAACCGTTGCCTTGGTAGCCCTGGAACAATTTGACCACATCCGCTGGGTGATTTTAAGGCGTGAGATTGATCTTGCCCCTCTCCTCCCGCCCCTTGACCCTCTTCTGTTGCTTGAATTGCACAGAGGAGCTTTTGAAAGGGGGCCAGGCCGACGGTTCTGAACGTCCTCCAAGGCCTTCTCTGTGCTTGTCAGTCTCGCCACAAAAATGTCCACCGTGGCTTCTAAACTGTTGAACCTTGCCGACGGTTTGCAAGAAGCTCTGACTCCAGTGTTGCTCCTCCTCCTCCTCCATGTGGCAGTTCTGGGTTCTCTGCACCCCCTTTTCACGGCTTCTGGCTTGAAGGCCAGTGAACCAGAGCAGAGTGCCAGCTCCACTTTCTGCCCCAAAAAGCTTCCTTCTGTCTGACATGCAGGATTGGGTCCCTCCTGCGCAGCAAACCAGGGGGTGTGCCTCGCGTGTGAGGAGAAGGCTCCGGCGAGTTCTCCTGTGATGGGAGGACCAGCAGAGGGGCACAAGGCGCCTGCGAAGCCATTTTGTGGTGTGCACTAGCCTTCGGTGGGCATGGCAGGTTCCCGGGTTCTTGGCAGAAAAGGGGGGATTTGCAGCGCTTGGAAAGCAGGGGGCAGGCGGGGGGAGGCAAGGCCCTGCTGAATCCCCTGCTGACGTGGCCAAGGAGGCTCCCCTGAAGCTGTGGAGTTGAATATGGGAAATAAAACCTGACTCAGCCAAGTTGCCCCCTTGTTTACTGTTTTGCCACAGCACTGGAGTTTTCCCCAGCACACGTGGGGCGATTTTGTCATGTGCTTGGCAGCGCTCTGCCTGCAGCGCTAGCCCTTGCGCCCGCGTCTATGTGTTGCAACGGCTGCCGAGCCGTTCTAGAAACCCCGCCTCCCCGACGCCAGAGGGAGCGGGCCTGCTGCGCTCGTGTTTCAGGCGTCTGCTGGAGGATGAAACCCCTTGCGGTTTCGTTGGTTGGAGCGCAGGGTGGCTTAGAGCTTGTCCTTTCTGCGGTGGAGGAGGGCGTGCCTCCAAGGCATGTGTGCTCTAGTAACCCTTGAGTCGTGTGACCGACGGGAGGGATTTTGCAAAAGGGAATTTTTTGCTTTCAATCTAGAATCGGCTCCCGACACTCTTGGCCCCTCTTCTTGAGCTTGTTTCCTCAGTCACTTTTCTTCTCTGTGCAGGCAAGCCTTGCTTCAGTCCTAGCGTTAACGCGTATTTGAACTTCGTGACTTGAAGGGCTTACATTCAGTTTCAGGTGGAACTGCAAGTGGCTTTCTGGTTATCCCAAGACAGCATTTACTTGCATGTCCTTCCGAACACAGTCAGGATTCCAGACGGGTGGGCTGGGAAACCTTCCGACCTTGTGCTTCTCTCTCTGTGCCTGTGAGGGCCTTTGGAACCAGAAAGAAGTGGGGTTTCGTAATGAGACGAGTTGTGTCTGTTTTGATTTCCACAGCGGCGTGTAAGCTGTGGTTTTCGTTTGTGTGCATTTTGTAACAGTGAATGGTTTCTGTGCTTCACAGGAACTCTGTGACTTCCTTAAGAACTGGATGGGGAAACAATGAAAACCGCAGGAGTATTTTTTACACAGAAGAGTGGGAAATGCTAGACCCCACCCCAAAAGATTTGGAGGAGTCAATGGCTCAAGAAGAGAAGAGGAAGATGCCGGCAGAACCCAGCAAAGGTATCAAGCCCTTTTTATTCCTCCTGTAGCTTTCTGTCATTGCACTCTGAAGAATCTTTATGTTTATTCATTATGCCAACTAACACAACCCATTTGTAAATGCCCGCCATGGAAATCCATTGGCAAGGGCGGGTGATGCCTATAAGTAAACCCCTTAAAAATCACCCATATAAGCTAGCTTTTGATTCCACTCCTTTTGCCTTCATCCGGCTGGACATTGCAGACTGAGGACAAGGGCCACCCAGCTTGTTTCTCTTTGGCTGGACCCTTGAAACAGGTTCCCGTAGATGGGGATAATACCCACAACACAGAGGATTCTGGGTTGAAGATCCGCACCCAACGGGTCCTTGTCTCCTCCTTGTTTTCCCCCCCACAATGTTAATGTCCTTAATAGGACCTGCTTCAGAAGCACAGATCCTTCCTCGCTGGTGAAAGATGTCAAAAGCCCCAAGTCCTTGTGAGAAAAGAGAGACAAACGTTAGCTTGGAGGGTCAGATCTTGGCATCATCAGCCAAGATACCAGTGGCCCTTTAGACCTTGCACACCGTCCCTTCCTTCTCGTGAGGCATCAAACATAAAGGCTTCCATTGAATGCCAGAGGTTTTGGGTAACAGGCCTGGGAAATGAGACTTCAGACCAGGGATCTGAGGCCGTTTCTAAACCCTAAACGGGTTTGTAATCAATGAACTTGAAAATGTCTCTGTCGGGTTCCCTCTAAATTGGGTGATCAAGTGCAGGCATGCCCTGCGATGAACTGAAGAATGTCTGAAGGATTGCTCTGAACAAGGAACGGTGATCTTTCCTGGCGCAGGTGGGACGGGCTCAGCTTTTCCCTTTGACTTCAGCCGCATTCCCCACAAGGGCTGGCGTCCTATAAAGGAAATGATTGGAACCAGCAAGAGCCGGAACAGCACAGAGTCTTCCCCTGATGAGTGGAACGGGAACAAGTTGGCTTCAGAGATGCAGGTGAAATTCCAGAGCCAACAGGAGGAATTGGAGGGGCTCAGGAAAGAGCTGGCCAGCCAAAAGGTAACTCGTCCAACAGGGAAGCACTTTCCACCCCATTCCTTCTCGTCCTTCTTGTCAGAGGTGGGTGTCGTCGGTTCTTCTGAGCCCTGCGTACCCCTTTGAATCTGGGCTGCCTTCAGGGACTCTTCTGTAGCAACAGCGGCCTTCAGACCTTGCTAAAACCACGTGAGCCGTCGGCTGTGGCTTTTGGTGCTGCTGCTGCAGAGCCCCAGCAGAAAGGCGCCTCTGGAACAACAACAACCCCCCCTCCTGGTGGGCCTACCACGAGCTGTCCCTTTCCGCCCCCGGAGCGTCCTCGCCCTTTTCCCTCCACCTCTTGGGCTGTCCTTTTCAGCCCCCCAGTTCCTCCGAAGGGCTTCTGTGAGGTTGCCCCTCTGGGGGGGGGGCTCTGTGTTGATCTGCATACTTGGCGCCCCTCTTTTGAAAGAAATGGGCCAGCGGCAGCTTCTTCTTCTTCTAAACCCTCGGGGTGTATTACAAATCTGGCTGCTGGCCCTACCGTTCCGTTGGGCCGCCTGAGCAGAGTGGGGCGGCTCTGGGGTTGTCGCCCAGGGCATCTGGCAGACACCAGGACAAAGGGAGGTTGGAGCCACAAGGCACTCCGTTGCCACGTAGGCCACTTCTGCATCTCTCAGAACGGAGTGTCTGTGTGTTCAGTCATGGGTATGTGTATCCCTGGGGGATGCAGACGTGGTCCAAGGGGGGGGGGACAAGGTTCTCTGAACAACCACATTGAATTTGCTCCCCTCCCTGCCTCATGTTCTCTTGCAAACGTGAGACGTCCTCCCATCCAGCCCTTTTGGGTCATTCCACGCTGACAGTAGCTTCTGACTTCTGATGTCTCTCCTGACCCCACCTTTCCCTTTTCCCTCATTATCAACGAGAGATGCTACGACAGGGTGCCTGTAAGGACGTGAACGCCCTTCGTAGACGCAGAGATGGTGGGCTTCAGGCTCTCTGGCAGGGGGGTTGTGGCCCAGGAGGCGGACACACGGTGGAGCCCCCACCTGCCTTGCCCTGCATGGCGTCCTTTGCCTCCTGCATCTATTCTTCTTCTTCTCGTTCATAGGAGCTGGTGCGGCTTCTGCAGCAGACCGTCCGGTCCTCCCAGTACGACAAATATTTTGCTGGGCACCTCTGCGAGGGAGGGGGCTCCAAGGAGAAACTCGAGCTGCTGCACCAGAAGGACGGCCAGATCTTGGGTCTCAACGACCAGCTGGAGAAGCTGACCCTGGAGAAGGACAGCCTGCAGCAGGAGGTCCGGAGCCTGAAGGGGAAAGTGGGCGAGCTCCACGAGCAGCTGGAGATGCTCCTGGAGACCATCCGGGCCAAAGACGAAGTGATCATGAAGCTCTCCAGGGAGCTGAGCGAAGGCGGGGACCCCTCGCCTTCCCACGGAGGGCCGGCCCAGCCTTCCACGCCCTCCTCCTCCGCCAGCAGAGAGCAGCAAGAGGTGGACCGGTTGAAAGTAAGGAACCTTTTTCTGGTATTTTTTTTCTCTCTTACGGTTGGAGAAGTCCAGCCTTCCCTTCGCGGAGGAGAGGGGTCTTCACTCCAGGACCCTCTGGGGCGCTGCCATGGTTTTCCTTCAGCTTCTGAGGCTGGGGTCGCCCTGCAGGGCAGCGCAATCCAGACAACCTCTGGCCCGCCTGGGTCTTTCACGCTCCCATTCTGTTCTAAAGCAGCGTGAAAGAAACCACGTATCTGAACTAGAGGAACCCAACAGAAATGGAGCAAAGAGGCAGATTCTGGCTGTAGATCATGCGAATGAGAGGTTACAACCTGAGTTTCTCTGAGTGAGAGAGCGAGAGAGAGCTGGAAAGTTGCCCAAATGAACCAGGAAGGAGAACAGTGACATACAAAAGCAAAGGTTGTGAAGCGACCCTTCTTTTTGTCCAGCATGCAAAGACTCCCTGGCAGCAACTTTGATGCTACCTTTTCCTGCCATCTGGGGGCATTTGTGGCCTAGATGGGTGTTTTCTCTGTCAGCTTCCTCTCCAGCCTGGATGTTTCTGTGCAGAGTGCAAACATCGCTTTTAGTTTTTAGAGCCTTGATAGTTAAGAGGGGCTCCTAACTACACACAAAAGGGCAGAGATGGTAATAGGTGCAGAAAAAAAACACCCTAATTTATGGCTGTGTTTGTAGTTTTCACTTGAACATTTCATGAGGAGGGGACAACACAGCATACCTAATATTTCTGCACAAACATTTCTGTCAAGTTAACTGAGCGATCAACGGTGCATGGATAGCTGTGCTGCTGAGTGAACCAGGAGCGACAATTGATTTGCTTTTCTAAAGGCCTGCTTTTCTTCCTTAGCCCTTTCCAAACCTACAGCTGCTCTTGAGGCTGCTTTCATCTATTCCGCCTCCCCAAGTAACCACAGGAAGTTTGTTTCTGAAGTTGCAAAAGTTCTGGTGTCCTTATTTGGAAATGCAGGTTTCCAGCTCTCCATAGGCAGACCAGTGTGAAATGGCTTAAAAGCATAGGCTTCCTAGGATTCAGGTACATGCTTTGGTTCTTTCACGCTTTCCTTGCATGTGGCATTTCTCTGCAACAGATGTTTTGCATGATGTTAACATGCGCAGACTAGCGCCACCTCTTGGCCTTCAGACCATGCAAAGCTGCTTCACCTCATGGTCTTCCGGAGGGAAGACGGCAGCTGTCTTGAAGATTGTGATCTTGCAGTGAAGTGTGTTTGGCAAGAACTAAGAACAGGAAGCATGAATGTGTGTGTGTTCGAGGAAGGAGAGTGTGGGGGAGCCTGTGAGGGTGCTTTGGACTGCCAGGCGATGCCTTGATCCGATGGTAGGGTGGTGCCAACGTTAAGTGTTTCAGGAACAGCCTGTGTTATCACCCGGGCATGGAGAAAGCAGGATTTGAAAGAATCCCGAGGAAATAATGGGCAAGCTCCCCATTTACTTGCAGGGAGAGAAAGAGGATTGAGTAACTCACCATGCACAAGTTTGGAACGGAGGGCAGTGTGGCTCCCTCGTCAGCCCAAGCAGTCCAAACACCCATTCGGTCGAGCCAGCAAACTTTTTTGCTCTTTACCCCAACAAGTTGCATCTGGCTTATACCCCAGAACACCTCGATGTTTTGAAGAGCGACACGGGCCTGCGAACGGCTGCTTCTTGAGTGTCCCACTGTGAAAAGCACAGATAGACATAGCTAAAGGACGCACAAGCTCATTAGCCGCCTTTAGTAAGCGCATCTGTTGTCTCCAGCTCTCATGTCGCTTGCCAAAACCTCGTTAGGGCAGCTTGACCGTCCTTTGCTCCCTCTTCCAGCCGTGAACCCTGAGGCCGCTTTGCGTTAGCCAAACCAAAGAGAAGCCAGATTGTTCCTTTACGAATACTGGATCCACCCACCCAAGTGGGTCCTTTGGAGGAGGAGAGAGAAAAGGACAAAAAGGTTGTGGATTTTGAAGCCAAACTGCTGTATTTTCCCATGAGTGGCCATGGATCCAAGCCCCTTGCCTCAGGCAGAAGAGTGAAACTAAAAAGTAGCCATTTAGCTTCTAAGGGGGCCATACCATTTTCGTCTATTCCTTTTTTGGTTTTGTTTTAATTTTTGTCTGATACCTCTGCACAGACAAAGGCAGGCTGCTCCTTCAAAAACGTCATTGGTGAATGAGTTAATACTAATACAATGGCGTCCGCTTAAGCCGGCGCTTCTCGAGATGTTATGGACCCCCCCCTCCGTCGAGAAGCCCCAGCTGGCACGGTCAATGGTCAGGGACCCTGGGAACGGAAGCCGAAAACATCTGGCAGGGGGCGAAAAGTGAAGAGCCACCTTTTAGAGCAGTGGCGTGTGAGCCCAGAGGGTTGAAAAATCAAAGCCTGTGTGAGGAGAGGGACGATAAATGGGGCCAGCTGCCTGCCCCAAAAGCTGTTTCTGTGAAGAAAACAAAGCCTAGCTGAGGAAAAGTCCGTAGCTAATGACTGAAAATGAAATTATTTCTCACAAACCTGGGCTACTTCTCATTGTGTGTAACTGCCCCCCCCCCCCAAAAAAAAACATCCTGGAAAGCATTTGATCCTTTCAGCAGCGTTCAATCACTGAAGCTTAAGTCACTAGCCCTACCTTGGCTTCTGTCTTTTTATTTCTTTGCTAGTTTTACAGGGCCATGCCTTGGCGTTCACTATTTTTGCTCTTGTTCTTGTTGTTGGCAGGACAGTCTTCAGGGCTACAAAACTCAGAACAAATTTTTAAATAAGGAAATCTTGGAACTTTCAGCCTTAAGAAGAAACGCTGAAAACAGAGAGAGAGACTTGATGGTCAAGGTCAGTCTAAAGCCACTGGTCCTTTTTAAGTGTTAACTTTTGTGAAATGCCTGAAATTCAAACAACAACCAAAAATGAACATGTTGAAGAAATAAGTAGCCCTTTGTTAAATGGGTCCTTTGCGCCCTTTATATCAGAAGTCAATCTTTCATGCCCAAGCGTTTGGTGGTTAGGAAGTCCATTCAGTAATATTTCCTGTGATGCGCAGTTAGATTCAGAACTCTGCTTTCAGGGATCATAAATAGCTCTGGACATTCTTGATATATAGAAAGAGGAACATGACACATCTTGTTATGATGCTTTTCTTGCTAATGCAACACAAGACTTTGCTATTCTTGGGAATGGCAATATTTTTGTTTATCTTCATGAGAAAGACAAACTATTCTCTCTCTCTCTCAAACACACACAGAGAAAGCGTCACATGCATATTAAAATGCATAAGGTCTTTGTACCAATGACTGTTTTAAAACAGTTTTCTTGATATATCCTATGCAGTATACAAGCCTGGAAGCCAAACTCTGTCAAGTTGAAAGCAAGTACCTGATTTTGCTTCAAGAAATGAAGGCTCCAGTTTACTCAGAGGAGCGGAGTCCTCATCACGATGTTGTGACCCAGCTCCTGGAAGATGCCTTAAAAGCAGATACGAGCGAGCACACGGAGCAGACCTACTTCAAACCTCACATGGTCAGGTAAGCCTTGGGAAAGCTGCGTTAACGCCCCGCTTCCTCTCTTCTGAGAACTGCCGGGCAAGCGAGCGGGGGACTCCTTCCACCTCTGCTCTGTACCTGCCCTTGCGGATTGGCTTGGGAGTCCCCAAAAAACGTCCCAGTCCTCCCACCTCCCCTGCTGTGTAATCCTGGAATTGGAGGAGTCTGGCATTGTGAGGGGGGGGCTTGGAAGGCTCACGGAGACCGTAGTGCAGCTGTTGGCCGATAGGTCCACCATTAAGGTCCCACAAGATTTTTTGTGTTTGCTGCAGACAAGAGAAAAGAGTGAGTAGGGGAAGCCAGCGTTGGACAGCCTGCGCGGGACTCCTGTTCCCATCAGGCTCTGTCAACATCGGCAGTGATCCTGATGGGGTTTGGAGTCCCAAGAACATGCCGGGGGGGCACAAATCACAAACCTGTAGTGATAAACGTGTTGCTGTGCTACAGAGATGCTTCTTCCCTCTTTTGCTCGGAAAGAAGACTGGCCACAAGGTGGGACCGTCTCCCTCCTGTTCATCCCCGTGTCCTTTTCCTCGACAGTGAGTACGACATTTACGGCTTCCAAACTGTCCCGGAGGATGACGAGGAAGAGAAGCTGGTGGCCAAGGTGCGGGCCTTAGACCTGAAGTCCATGTCCCTTACGGAGCACCAGGACATGTCCACCGGAGTGAAGTGGGAGAATTACCTGGCCAGCACCGTCAACCGAGAGATGGTGCGCTCGGTGGAACTGAAGAGCCTCATTCGGTCCGGGATCCCCCACGCCCATCGCTCCCAGGTGTGGAAATGGTGCATCAGCCACCACGTGAAGAAGTTCAAGGACAGCGCTGACCCAGGCTACTTCCAGCGCTTGCTTCAGAACGCCCTGAAGAAGCAGAATCCGGCCTCGAAGCAAATTGAGCTTGATCTGCTGCGGACTCTGCCCAACAACAAGCATTACGCTTCCCCCACTTCGGAAGGCATCCAGAAGCTGCGGAATGTGTTGTTGGCCTTCTCCTGGCGGAATCCAGACATCGGATATTGCCAGGGCCTCAACAGGTAGGGAGGGGGCTGCCCCTCTCCTCCCCCCCCCATCTCCTTTCTCTGCAGATGTGGGTGGGCAGCTTGCACAAAGGCAGTGGCTACGTTCACCTGGGTGTAGAGCCTGGGAATATCTGAGTCTCTCTATCTCTGTGAGGTCAAGATCCAGCTCTGTTTAATGTTAAACCATCATGCAGTACCCCCATTTCTGGAGGATTCGGTCATTTTTATCCTATAAGGAGGGAATCCTGAGCGATTTTGCAGAGATATTATTGCTTTTCGCCCCAGGGAACTGTCTGCTCTTAGGAGAGCTTGCTGGTTCTTTGCAGTGAGGCAGATCCAGTGGAAGAGGATCGGAGAGCTGAATCTCTGGGTCCAGATAAGGGCCAAACAACCTTCTTTGCCTGCCCTTCCCTGTGGTCAAGGTCCCCGTCAGCTCCAGCTGGTCTTTATTTATTTCATTTTATTTACAAGATTTTTTAGCCACGTCATTTCCAGTGGTCTCTGAGCGGCATACAACAATATTTAAACTGTAAAACCATTAAAACCATTAAAATAGTCAATATTCTAATAATATCCTATATTAAAACCAATCATTAAAACATTAATATTAATAAATCCTGCAGCTCATGTGGCCAGCTAAAGAATGCAGTGGCCATTTGGACTCCCACAGCTCTGCAGGAGGAAGAAGATTTGCAGTGGTTTTTCTTTCCGTTTTCCAGGCTGGTGGCAATTGCGCTTCTCTACCTGGAGCAGGAGGACGCCTTTTGGTGCCTGGTGACAATTGTGGAAGTCTTCATGCCCCGGGATTATTACACTAAAACTCTCCTAGGCTCCCAGGTATGATGTGCACCAGGAAGCTCAGCGTCCGGTTGTCAGAAAAGGCAGAAGAGTTCGCAATGTAATACTTCTGCATGAATATGAATCCTATAGATGCAGTATCATTTGTTTTGGGACTTGGTGGCGCTGCGGATTAAACTGCAGAAGCCTCTGTGCTGCAAGGTCAAAAGACCAGCTGTTGTGAGATCGAATCCACGCAATGAAATGAACTGTTGCTTGTCCCAGCTCCTGCCAACCTAGCAGTTCGAAAGCATGCAAATGCAAGTAGATAACTAGGTACCACCTCGGTGGGAAGGTAACGATGTTCTGTGTCTAGTCGCGCTGGCCACATGACGATAGAAACTGTCTTTGGACAAACGCTGGCTCTGTGGCTTGGAAATGGGGATGAGCACCGCCCCCTAGAGTCGGACACGACTGGACTAGATGTCAAGGGGAACCTTTACCTTTACCCTTTGTTTTGCTACATGAAGGAGATCAAGTCAAACGAGCCTCCCTCCACAACGTGATTTGGTTCAGCCTAAACTCAGGTGTACCTGCCGGTGCAGCCAGAGTTGCCCTGAGCATGAGGCCATAGGCGTCTTATCACAAAGAGGCTCCTTGGCAGCGTTTGGTTAGAGCCTGTTCAGCAGGCGGCAGTGTTGAAAGGAAGAATCCCAGAAATATTTTTCATTTCTTAAAACATTTTCAGGGTCTGCTGAGAGTTAGATGGGGCAGCCTGGATCTTCCATGCTTCCCTTCGGTCCTTCTTGTCACAGGACAGCTTGGCTGGGCGGTGGTGCCGGACTGTGGGAGAATTTCCGTTCCCTCTTGCACAGAACAGCAGTAATCTGTTTTTCCTTTTCCTTTGATTCTAGGTTTTTAGACTTCAAATATGCAGGCAAACCTCCCCCACGCTCTTAGGCTTTTGCTACTGTGTTTTGTTTTGTTTTTTAATATTAGGAAGCCTCCTCTGGCAGGGAACCCTTTTGCCCCCAATCTTAAATTCATTTTCTTGTGAACTGGTGGCCCTCAGGATGCTCATGGATTCCAGCTACCATCAGCTCTAACTGGCATAGCTCTGGGTTGGGGACGATGGGCATAGCAGCCCAGGGAGGTTTGGAGAGCCCCTGCCCCATAGAAACGACCGCAGTAGGAAGACAAGATTCTATCCTCCACGTTTTCCAGCCTCACAAGCTTGTATAAGCTAGCCGATGGCCGGAGGAAGCAGCTCTCTGTAAAGCCGCCTTCTGGGTCTTGACGGCCTGGCAGCGCTTCTCGCG